GAACGTTGTGTTTGATTATTGAATAAATAAAGACGGCACAGCTCTTACTGAAAATAATTAGTTAATGTTAGCAACTAGTTATTAATAAGATTATTTGTTCTACGTTTATGATCATTCAGAAAACTGATGATTTACATGTATATTAACAATAAAGTACTTTATATTTTGTCAGGTATTTGTTGTTTTTGAATATTGGAGCAGTATCATCTAATCAACTTCCTTTACAAATGAATAGTGATTATAATTTGTATTTTTTTGTTTTGACTAAATAAAAAGTACCGTTATTCAATTGTGCAATAAATGCAATTAATAAATTATAGTTAACTTACACTAGGATCGCAATCTGCACAATGCCATGAATAGCCTCTTCGTTTGGGTGATTTTTTGACTGGTGGATCGAGACAGGTGAAGTGGTAGCATTTTTTACATTCATCACACCTAACATGTAAAAAGTGACAATATCAAAATTTTATAATACATATAAAAGAGCTATGTATAACATTATTCATGTTTACTAACATAACGAGATTTTGACTGGTGCCAGGCATATCACAGACATTACAATGGGTTAAAAGGTCTGTATCTTTTCCTTTCTTTCCATTTCCCGTAGACGTTCTGCTACTTGTATTATTAGTAGTTGCATTTGTTGTAATTGGTGCAGGAGTTGAAACTACAGGTGGAGCCGGTGGGGGTAGTAATTTAGGCGGAGGTGGTGATGTGATTTCTGTGCTAGTCGATGTAGCAACGAACATTTGCGGACTTGATTCAGAAGCTATTTCACCTTCAGGTCTTGGAATTGGCTTGATCTTTTTGGTGGAGCAAATGCAAATTAATTATTCTATATTTAAAACAAAACAGAATTATAGGATCATACTTTTATTGTTATTCTTCTATGAACTTCTGGTTGGCCCTGGCCTTCTGGATTTTCCACGTCGAGACTTTTTCTTTTATGTTTTCGTTTCCTTTGTTTTACACCCGTAATCGGGTCAGGAGTATATCTTTTGTGTTTCTCCCTAATAAAAAAAAGTAAAGAATTTTTTGCCCTATTTTTACAAAGATAAATTACCAACCTTCTCCTTTTCTTTGCACTCCTTTGTGATACAGATTCTGTACCATCTGCTGAAGCTACCATATATTCCGGAGATCCTTCTCTTGTTATTGTCACATTATTAATAGGTTGCTGATTATACAATGATTCTCCTGACTGAGCAGGAATTGAAGATGGAGGTTGTGGTCCTACCGGCTTTATAGTTACCTGCATACAATTAAAAAATAAAAACAACGTTTTTATATTATCAGAAGGCGAAACTAATTATGATTCAGTAAATAATTACTTTTGGTGTCGTAGGTGTATCAGGAGCTGTCATATTTGTTACACTATTAAGGCTACCAGAAGAATTTTTTGATGTGCTTGGTGTCGTTGGAGTTGCAGGTGCTTGCATCTCTTGTGGTGGTGTTGGTGTTGGTGTTGACGTTAAATTAGAGTCATCCTTGCAATGCCTCAATTTACGTGGAGCTGACGTATCAACACGTTCTATCTCTGATCCAGAAGATTCTTTATCGCATTCGGAACATTGCCTGTGTTATACAAATTTATTGTATATGCTTGAGATACTGTGCAAAGATATTGATAAAACATAGTAAAAAATATCTGACATATTTATGTACATACCATCCCATAAGCTTTGTTTTTTTCGGCATACGTGATAGAGGTGGACTAAGACAAGATAAATGGTAGTGAAGATGACACGTGTCGCATTTTGCAAGGAGGTGCTGGTTGGTAGATCTTCTGCATATTCCACATTGATGCCTTAATGTTAGTTCACCTTTATGGTTTTGATCTTGCGCTTGACTACTTAACACTCTACCTTCACGTACTCCTTCTACTCCTTTACCAACTGGTAAAGGAAAGCCTACACCCATTTTCAACGCAGCCGCGGTTGGTACACCTAAACCCGTACCTATTAAAACATACAAAATTTACATATTTTATATATTTGAATCCCAAATTCATAATTATAATTTTACCTAATGTTGGCGTTATTCTTGGTTTTGATAAGTCAGCTATTTGTGGTAAGGGTTTTCCATAACCGCTGGTTTGAAGCACCTGGTGGTACATTTCAATCTTTTCTTTCAATGTTAAATTAACACGAATTTGTTCTTCGTTATCCTTCATCACTTCGTCATACTTTCTGTCTAACCTTTGTTGTTCATTTAGTAATTGCGAATTAACATCAAGAAGTTCTTGTAATCTTCTTTTCATAGATGTTACTCGTAAATTACGATCTAGGTAATAACCAATAAATTCCACACTAAAAGCAGGTGGTATATGCCATTTTTTTCTAACATCGACCAATGCTACAAGTTGTGCTTCCTGGGCTTCTAATGCAGCTGTATCTACACCCATAAGTTCAGCTTTTCTTGCTAATTGTCGACAAGCAGAAGCTGATGTAGTTAATAGCCGAGGCATCTTTTGCGTTGGTACTAAAAATAAAAGACATTGTATTCTCTATAAAATTCGATACATTTGTTGCATTTAATGTAGATGACGTACCCCATGGTGGTGGTCGGGATGCTTTATGAGCTAAATATTTATGTCTATGCTTAGCTAATTTTCTTTGAATTCTACGCTGTTCTTCAGTATCTAAATGATTGGGTTGTTTTAACAATTGATGTCGGTACTGAGCTCGTAATTGTAAAGCTAACCAATTGCGTCTACGTCTACGAACGAGAGTTTTATCGGAATGAAGTTTGCAGTGTGCATAGAACGGATCAGCTTGATCAACTTCTTCACTATGAGCTTCAGATAATAGACCTTCTCTTTGTGCGCTATGAAAAACGGTACTTTAAGTCTTTCTTCAAATCAATAGATTTTTTTAAATCATATGTGAATATAAATATACATGTGAAGTGACTTGCCTTACCATGTAACATGAAAATATGTGTGACACATTCCTGCATCACATTCTATGCATACTCCAGTACGAGCATAACGTGCATCTTCACATAAAGAGCATTGCTTTGCTCCCCATTTACTGTATGCCATCTCAAATAGTGTTACACTCGATAAACGATCAACCTGGAATAATTATAAATACATATGAACATAAACATTTTAAAACATTCTTGTTTTATGTATAATAGAAATAAAAACCTTCCATACTTCTCCAAAAGCAACACCAGGTACATAAAGTGCACATACTAAATGGACCCATTTGCCTACATCAGTCTCTTTAAAAATGCCACCTTTATTTGGACAAAGTTCACAGGGGGGATCCTCAATGCCTGCACTGCAAGCTTCACAAAACCATGGTGCTGATTGACATAAAGAATCAGTACTTGAAAAACTTTCTACATCAGATACACCATAACATCCTAAAATAGATAGTATTGCATATTATAATAGTTTTTACGTCTAACAATAGGACTGTTATCCAAGTTTCAAAAATAAAATAAATTTATATTTGTAGTTCATATTTTTACCTTCATGTACACTGACACCACAACCATCACACTCAACAATTTCATTAACATCATCACTTCTATCTCCTAAGCAACCACAACAAATTAACATTTTACTTAATTTGTCTTCTAGAGGACCTCCTTTTAGTGCTTGCTGGCGAGCTTGTTCAATAACATCCCCTACTGTTAAATTAGGATTCTCTTTCCTATTAAGTAATGGATCTTCCAAAGAATCATCAGATTCTTCAGATACATCTTCTTCCTCTACAATGTACAAGAAAATATATCTCTTTAATTGAATGAGCTATTAAGTGGTAATGTAAAGAGATAATTATGTATATGTAGTAGAGCATTTAAAAAAAGGGCGAGAAAACGAAATAGCAATTGTTGATCAAAGAACTATAAGTAAAAGTTAGTATAAGTTAGAATAGGTCAGAGAATAAGTACACAAATGTATACTCATCTGCAATTAATATGTTTTCTTAAATATTTTACACAGATGGTGAATAAATATATAGATAATATTTCTTTAATTTCAATAATGCATTATTGGACAATAGAATTGTTATTTCCTATTTTACCTTTTCCAATATCGTTAGAATCTTCTGAATCATCATCGGATTCCTCGCAATGGTCTTCAATCCTAAAGTCACTATCATCGGAACTTTCACCCAAATCAAAATCAAGCAAAGGTGCTGTTCCTATAGGCTTGACTCTCCTCTTCTTTGGGTCTCTTTCAACTAAAAAGGAAATGTTGCTTACAGTTTCTTAACTCTTGAATTTTAAAAGGTATATATATATTTAATTGAATATATGCCTCCATAGGTCTATTAATACATACATAATACATACATACATATATAAATATAAACTAAACAAATTTTTATCAATACATCACATTTACTCGTTTGATAAATTAAAATAATTAAATTTTGAATATTGAAAAATGTTTCAAAGCTTTCTTATTTTTATAATGTAATTTTTATCCTTGCTGCAGCTATAATTGAACTGTGAATTATTTTAGCCAACCATAATAATTGTCATATGAATATTATGTAGTAAAACACTTGCAATTTTGTGTTAGGGAGTGCCATAGTCCAAAGGTTAAGATACAATTCTTTAAAAATGTTATTTAAACGAATTAGCATACAAATTTTATATAATAAAACATTTTCTAATATCCAATACATTTACTCAGAGAGGTATATATTACCAGAAATATAAAACAATTTAATGCTAGGTTATGTAAGTACTTCATTTAAAATAAATACATACAGAAGCTTGTCATATTACTCTTATATTCACACTTATATTTAAAATTTCAATAAGGTTATTTTGTACTCTTTCAACTACTCCTACTTATTTTTCCCGTCAGCAGTTCTGACACTTCATGTATAGCTATATAGATTTTGAATGTCTCCCACTACTCATTGAAGTCAACGAGTCGTTGCTTCATAAAATACTGACGTACGCGTAAGATACGATGCCGGCTACACGAATTAGGTTAATTTTACATATGCCGTATTTATCTTATTTTTACATGCATCAATTAAAGGTTCATTGACCAGTCGAATACTATCCAAATTACTTTGATCAAAAACTACATCAAAACATTATAATTTTTGACAGAAAATTTTGTACATGTTTAGATATAATACAATAATACTTTATTTTTGAAAAAAGATTGGTAAAAATGTATAAATTAATTTCACACTCATTAATCAAGCATAATGTGTATTTTTCATTCCCACGTTTTCTCCATAAAATCTAACACGTGACAGGAACATGACTAAATTTCGTATAATACGATATCCTTAGTTAAAGTTTCATATTTTGTAATTACATATATGCAAAAGATTTGTTATAAAGATTTTAAATGTTTAGTGTAGGTAAACAAAATGTAGTTACTAGTAACTAAAATTAATAAATGAGACATTAATTCAAAATAAAATACTTTTAACTTACTCATTGTTTTGTATAAAAATCCTACGTCATCGTCTTGAGACATTTTTCACTAATCCATAAAGATTTTCTTTAGTTCACAATATATGTGTTTTATGTACACACAATTTTCAATTCCTTTGAATATATTACTTTTAATATACAAAAATT